CAAATATGACTTTATAATTGTCCTTATTTAGAGATTATATATGGTTAAGAAGATGTATACAATTGCCAAGTTGACAAGGGGTGGACTGTGATAGTTGGAGCTGCGTGTCAACTTCGTTGGACCACAAGTCTATGTGGTGTTAACATACACAAGCATATTCACACAAGCATAAAACATGTAAGCATAATCAGAGTTTGTCACCCAAAGAAGGGACACATCAAAGGGAAATTGATTCAGATCAGAGGCAGGATTTCAGTCATTCCAAGTGCCTCAGATTTTTAGATTGCTCACACTGCCAAACCTGAGGATCATGGTCCCACCAGGTTGATGCACAACTGTAACTATCACAGACGCCATGAAGCCGCTTGATAGTGAGCTTCCAGAGTCTCCAGAGGAACCCCTCACCTTAGTCTGTGTCTGCTTCCCTCATTAACAGGACTTGTCTGTACTCTGCAGGCATGTGAGTTTAAGAGCTCTGACCTACTGTCAGAAATAAGCCATCAGCTCTTAACATGAAAACTCTGTTCATCCTCCCTAAGCGCCAAAGCCAAAGTCTATGGGAGCAGGACGTTTCCGACTTCCCTTTCTACAACTCTCCCCCATCCCTCCTTCCTCTGTGGGAGAGGTTCAACATAACTCAATCTGCTTCTCCTTGGGATGAAGGACCTGAGTCCAGCAAACTTTTCGAGACACTGAGGAGGAAGTAAGCAGTAGCCTGGAGAAGCTCATTGCCAGCTCTTAAAAGATGACCCCTTTAGCCCCTCCCTCTGCTAAGCTAGGACTTGTCAATATTCCACTCCCTGGGCAAGGCTGAGATTGTTCCATGTTATGGACGGTTTTGTAAGAAGTCTGTACCATTTTCTCTTTATTCCCATCCTATTCCCCAAGGTGCTGGTTTTCTTGATTGCATTTCTCTCCCAAGAGCTGGGAAAGGGCACTGGGGTAATCTGGAATGTTACCTCCTCAAACCCTGAGAGATCACACATCCACAAACACTTTCTCAGTAGCTTTCAGCTCTGACCACGGACAAAGTGTTGGTGTTATGGGGGCAATTCTGGCAAAGGATGGGGGAAATCACACACCAAATCACTCCCTTTCATTTTCTCCACGTGAGCAGACTCAGAATGCTCGGGAAGGCTGAATTCAAGGGGAGACAAGAGTAGGTGGAGGCTGTGAGGCCAGTGAGTCCTGACATTTTTCCATGCTCTGTTCTGACAGGGTCAAAACATTCTGATTTTTTTCCTGATTTTCAGTCTGATATCCATTCTGTGGACCTGGAAACTCCAAATGGCAAACATAGTAGCTGGTGCCTTGACAAACCCTTTCCAGGACACATGGCTAAGAACCAGAACATGCAGAGTTGTCAAAAACTGGGCAGTTTGGGTTCTGAAGGAGGGGCACTAGAGAGGACCACAGCTACAGGGCCAGGTCCTTGGAATGAGACGTGATGGAGGAGATATGGCTGTTGTCTCAGAGCAGTTATTAAAATGATGGAGGCGTGTCACTAGCAGGACTGGATCCTAGGGTCAGAGGGCTGAGAAGATGTGG